TGCCGGCCGACGGCGATCAGTATGTATCAAAGCTCGCTAAACAGACCTCTTCGTGCCGGTAATAAGCTCATATCCTCTCAGCTTGGTACTCGTGACGTTTCTGCCCAGGTAAATCTGCTCGGATAACTTCTGTAGCCATTTGTAGGCAGTGGCTGGTGGCATGGCACCCAATTCGACCACCTCGACACAAACATCTGAAAGGCCAGCTACCCGTGTTACCGACGTGCGCTGTGATATTGCGTGTGGTGTGGCACGATACGCAGAAGCCAGGAGACTCAACAAAGCTGTGATGAGGTGTAGTTGGGTGATGACGTGAGGCTTGAAGATCCAACCTTGGAAGCCACGTGGATGATGGATCTAGCGTGGCCGCACCCACCCAAAATGCTGACATCACGAGCGAGGATTGGACAACGAACAACACAAGATGCCACCAGTTACACTACTGCAGCATGCGCGAGCGAGAGGAGTTCCGCAACCTCGGACCGGTCCGCGTACCTATTCAGGATGCTCTGCATTGCACTGTAGCCCGTTGTGGTAACGAAGCGCCGCGTGAAGAACAGATTTCGATAGCCCCGAGATATACCCGTGAGCCCATTACTGCCTTGATCCCTCTAAACTTTGCATTCTTGCTGCCACGTCTATAGATTCGCGCCTCTACTGCAATACTCTACGAGAACAAACCCACGAAGCGGATGCCCTGATCGATCCACGCCGCACCAAAACCTCTCCCCGTGCGCATCATACCTCAGCCCGTTCTGTGTTGAGCTGATGTCGCCGTGGTCATGCTCGAGTCATGACTGAAGTGTGCGGTCGATGCGCCGAAGGCGGAGGGCGCGAGCTGGTGCCCTGGCTGGAAAGAGATGGTCAACTTGGATGCAAGATCAAGAGGGGACGAGAGATCTCACTGTTGCCCCTAGCCGGACACTCTGGCTCCCTTCAGCGCGTCCGGGCGGGTTGAGCGTCGCAAGGCTGTCCGCCGGCGCCGTCTTCTTGCCGTCTGATGGCTGTCGTTCCGGCTCTCTGTATCCAGCCAGGGCCTCATACTCTTTGTCCCAGTCCGCCCCCAGGTCCCTCTGGTAGTCAGGAGTCACCAGATCCTCAGTGTCTCGTTTGTCGCGCCAATCCAGCCCTTCGTGCCAGCCGTCCTGTTCGGGGTATGGGATGACGAGTCGGCCACCCACCCGCTCTATGATTTGCTCCGGCGTGTCGGTGAGGTGCGACTCAGTCGAGAAGGAGGGATTGGGCTGGCCTGATTTCGGCGTGTCGAGGCGTACATTGCAATCTGCGGTGGATGACGCGGTCCTGAATCTGTCAGTCAGGGAGAAGGCCGACGAAGCGCATGTTTGGTACCGTGGTCTGTCTTTGAAAGTCGCAGAGCGCTTGCGACCGAAGCAGCACATATGCGCAGAGTGCAGGAGTCTGGGGATCAGGAATGTGCAGTCGTGGCGTGCATGGAGAGCGTCGGGGCTCCACAGCGGCGTGGTTGAGAGTCTGCGTGTCTGCTGTCAAAGGGCGACCCTTAACGAAACTATACGGCCAATACGGAAGGTCGCACAGCACATCGCAGGCCTCAACACCCGGAGCCGCATTCTGGGCGGCGTCTTGGGAATGATGGCTGCACGTGATGAAAACTCCAATGCGATGCCAACTTAGCTATCGCGACACCGCAAAAGCGATGCGCAGCAGGATTCGCGCGAGGTCGTGGATGGCGTACCGAGCCAGCGCAGGCTGATGGTGAGGGCGCCCGGAGTTAAGATGGCACACCCGCCCGGCGATAACAACGCCGCCATGTTCTATCCCTCCACCAACACACCATAGTATCTTTACCACTCCACTCCCCCAGCAGCCATTGCAGACGCGCGGGGCACCAGGCATTCTATCGCTATCTTCCGTAGCCCTCATTATGGCTGACCTCATCCTCTTGACCTTGGCAAATCCGGCCAGCGAAGAATCACCACCGCGATGAAAAGATCAAGGTCCCGCCCATTCAGATGCCTTCGTTGCTCCAGTATGCCTCTTGCAATCGTTCCCGCCTAGAAACAGCTGTGCAATCAACACTGGACAAATTCCTCTCCCACGACATCGACATCGGCCGAAGATACACAATTCAACGCCGCGACCTACCTCAAGCGCGACTTATTCACCTGCCCAGGTTATGCGATGGCGTACCTCGCTCTGGATGACATGGTGGAAAGGGGGCATGAGGCGCTGTGCAACTCACCTCCCCAGCCCGACCTCTTCTACCAGTCATCGAACACACAGCAGGCGTTCTATCGGCCTCGCGCCGCGCCGGTAATCGCGACAGCTGCATCCGATATCACATCTTCAGGATGAACCGCCACAACCACATGCAGTCTTGGTGCCAGACACTCAAAAGCAAACCAACTCCGCTGGACCATCTCATTCACATCGGTCATTTAGGAGCACGTCTGTCCACCAACACTACAGCAGCAAGATGCCACCCAAGCCAGCCATGGTCAAGCCGAGATCTCCGGCGGAGACGCGAAGATGTGGGGCCAAGTGGCCGGTACACTCCTTTCATCCCCTCTTACCATTCCACGACCTAATGCGCAATAGAAGTGACCACATAGATCCTGCGGTCTTCTCCTCCCCATTCAAACGCAGTCGATACCGCGCGATATTCACCGAACGCTTCCGTACACGTACTCTCTGTCCACGTATGGAAGCATGGTCAACAGTCCCAATGATATGAACGATGAGGCTGCGATGAAGATCACATTCTTATATACAACGGAACGTGGATGTGGTACGACCGGATGTGGGAGAGAGCCGTCACGGGCGGCAGCTCCTGGTGTGAAAGGATCGTCGGGCATTCCACTCAATCGGACTTTCGCATGAACTTGAGCATGATGGACACACGAGCACAGGAGGATCTGGAGATTGGGTTGGGTCGGGTGGCTACATTAGATCGTGTGCGGAGGAAGGCTGCTTTGTGTAGAAAGGCTAAGCTGGGAATGAACATCAGATATGCCATCATGCTGACTAGGGCATGACCATACGCACTACTACAATCATATGGCTTCCGGCCGCCCCAAATTTAGCGCTCGTTGATACCATCATGCAAGTTTTCACATCCGATATCTGACATCGCTGTCACATCGTCGCAATTCCCTTGTTCTTCTCTCATAGCCAGAAGACACCATATTGGGGGAACATCAGGGCGACCTGCGACGAGATACTACGTCATTTAGAGTGACTTCTAGACAATCTACATTCTCTTGTGTATCACATACACCAATTCCGCCCGGGTGATATTTGCATGGCGTTCGCTGTCACCACCGGCGTCACCAGACATGACAGCTCCCGCGCCAAGGATCCCCAAATCTAGCGTCCCTCAGACGGCATCATCGTCATCGTCAACTACTCCAGCCACGTCAACGAGTCTTCCCTGACACAACAGAACTGGCCTTCTTTTCTAGACACCTTACGTCTTGCCCGGTTGATGTCTACATGACGTCCGCAATCCGCATGACGGGTCAGTAGCCACCACGAGCGATGCTGGGAATGAAAGCAAGCCCCCATTCGAGGCATCCTTCGCATCGTCGAACCTAGCACCCCTCATACAACATCCTCACTCACTCGGAGACCACTCGCGATGTCGCATGCTGTGATTCGATGAGAGCATCCCCGTCCACCACGAGCCTGTCGCAATAACACTGTCAAGACCCTACGCCATGCCCTCCGGCCCCTTCGCAACGAAGCCCCACGCGAGCGATACACACCGATACACCTTGCGAGAGTTCCATACCCCTCACACGCATTGGGTTACCGCATGAACGCCCGCATGAGCCGAAGCTATAACGCAACGTTACCGCGTGAACATCGGCTTTCGGCCGCAATGCCCCGGTGTATACTTCTTCGATTGCAGCTGGTGGTGGAACACGAGAGGCAGCATGTTCGAAGTTGTCGGTTGCCTGGAATCGCGAGCGAAGTCATACGATGAGGGGCGCAAGAGCTTTTGGATGGCACAAGACACTTGTTGGTTTGGACATGGAGATGCGCCGATGAAGAGGGGTGCATACAGCAAGGAGATGTGCTAATACAACACCATGGGTGCGACGAGATGGAAGACAAACGAGCGATTAACTCCAGTCGCGCAGAATCCAGACATTGCATGATCTGGTGGTGTTGGCACAACTGGAGACAGCCGCACAATACACCATCCTTGGGCGCGTGCACCTCCCGCTGTTCAGACTTCAGCATGAGTCTTTGGCTCGAAAGATGCTAGCAATATTCGAGGTTCCCCCCATTCCATGAGTAAATTCTCGCACATTATCAGACGATCCATGCTGACAGTTCTATCAGCACACTCTTCCAATACTTGCATGCAGCGCAGCTCGAACCCATCGCCGAGGACCACGAACACGACCGACAACGCGCGATCGATACGCCGAGCATCATGACGCCGTACCTTTAATACTGAGGCCCATCAAGACTGAGTATGTAGGCACATGACGGTGAGGCGCATCGAGGAGACAGGAGTTGGCACGCCGGAGTGTATGTGGTCGCGGGACACCGCCGCAGGCTGGATGTTCCTCTTCTGATACCATGGTCTTCTGTCTCATACTTCGGTGCAATGGCGAGTGAGTGCAGGAGTTCTTTGGTGGAAACCTCCGGGTTTCAGGATATCTCGCTCCTTTCTTAAGGTACCCAAAGACAAGTTCTCTTCACCCACAGTCACTTCATCCTTCACATATGCAATAAGAGAGGACATTGGACGCACCCATTATCTCGTGTTTTATAGGCCTCTTTTTTCTAAACGAAGAGCGTACGACATACGATATACCACTTCCAGCGGCCGAATACGATATCCCGATTGACCTTTCCCCAACCCTTTCGACTTTGTCTTCGATACTAAGGATCCACTCCTCCTCCGCGACCCGAAACCCTCAACGCCAGTCCCGCAACTAGCCCGTCATATTCACTCGCACCATTGTCCCCCTCTCTGAACCACAAGCACCCCTTCTACCATGCCACGACTACGCGATATCAGGTCTCTTCTCTCGCACTACATGCACTGTAATGCGATATCGATACTCGTCGTGCTGAACAACCAAAGGCCCGATCAGCGTCCCCCGATGAGCTGCGGCATCGATGTCTGGTACGGCGATCTGGAGGTACTGCGGAGATCTTAAGTATACTGGATGGAGCGGTGCCGTTGGGACTGACAAAAAGGCAGTCTGGCGGTCGATGTCGTTTAGCAAGGTTTGTGAGGGCATTGAATTCGCTTGGACGCTGGTCGTGGCGGTTTGCGCTGTTCGCGCTGTATCTGGCACAGTTTGGCTGACCTCCGCAAGCTGGTGGTAGTTTCTGGGCGACATCTGTTCTTCCTGAGTCTCTGGAATTTCGCGGGATCTTTGCGGGGTGGAAATGGGACGCTTCTCGCATTCGATTTTGTTTGGCCAATGGTCGCGACGGACGCCTCTCGGGTTAACGACCTCTTCTTGCGACAACTTCCCCGCCTCTTCTGCGAGTCGCATCCCATCGACGTCCTGCTCGGCAACATCGATGGCGCCCATATCAACATCCTCATAGATCACGGCCTGTGAGCTTCCATCGTTTACAACGTCCGGATCGAAGAAGCTGACGACGGAGTCTTCATGGTAGTGTCGAGGGTTCACTCCACTCGACTTTGGAGTATGATACGTCTCGTCCTCGCTGTCCTCAAACTCCGCACGAATGCCCCCGGGAACATTCACGACTTGATCTTCGCCCATTACGAGATCTTCATCGACCTCCACATCCGCCTGCACCTCATCACCTCCCGTATCGGTATCCTTCCGTGACGGCGAACCGCGTTGATCGCTTATCTTAGCATGCTCTCCAAGTTCATCAACAAATCTGGTACCCCAGCTTGGCCGCTCGTCTTCGGGAACAGACTCGACAGCGCGTGGTCTCTGCCCATGATGCATTCTCCTGCGCTTCGCAGGTCGCCCATCCTTGCTGATAGAGAATGGATCGACAATGATCATGGAAGATGCTGCACTCCTATTAGTAGGCTTCCCTGCTACCGGATCTAAATCCCGTATTGGATCGACCGGCTGCTCAGTTTGCATGGGTACCTTGCGCGGCCGCCCGCGCTTCCTAGGTAGCGCGACTGGTGGAGGTTGTTCACTTGCTGGGACGAGCTTCTGCGACCGGCCTTTCTTCTTTGCGCCCATGGATACTGGAACGGCCGCGGTTATCCCAAATTCTTCAACCCGAGCGGCATTTGGAGGGCGACCGCGCTTCTTTGGTATCGTCGCGATTGCAATGGCTGGAGCAGCGGCTTCCTTCTCGGTGATGGCTTTCCGCGGACGACCTCGTTTTCGCGGTATCAGGGGAGTCGAATCAGCTGGTGAAGCTTCCGATCCTGGCGCAACTTTCGGCGGTCGGCCTCGCTTATTGGGAACCGCGGGGGCTGGAATGACTGGTAAACCTCTACTATGTTTCTCTGGGGCGCTCTCTGCCGGTTGCATCTGTGGATTTGGTGGCCTGGAGTAGCCTAACAAGATGATTGACGAGTCGTCTTGGGCCTTCTCTTGGGGTCGATCACGCTTCTCCGGGACTGCAGGGACTGCAGCAGGCGATTGCTCGACTGACATGACTTTGGTCGGACGCCCACGTCGCTTGGGTAGATGAGAGCTGGGCGAAGCTATGGGCGCATCCTCCATGATTTTACGTGGTCGCCCGCGCTGCCTTCGCGCCGGGACGGCGGTGACATCAATGTCGGCAGTGTGCCGTTGAAGCCCAGCGTTCTTCTTTGGGGGCATCGTGAGTGTTTTCGAAAGAGTTGTGACAGTAGAGATTGCATGCGACCGTGGTGGGAGCGAAGGGTGGAGTTCAGGTTGCACAAGCTCGACTGATCGTGCCAAGACTCCCCACGTGATTTGCGCTCGCCAGTTTCTGTGACGAAGGAAGCGACCACGGCCCACATTGTTCCAGCACACTGCTGCCTGGAAATTCACTGGCATAGCTATCAACGCCGACTGCGATACTCCCATCGCCGCCATGGGCATGGTGCGGCGCACATGACTGAACCCGGGAAGCTTGGCAACCCTTCAACATCCCGAGGTTGTCAATATCTGACAGATCAATTACGACCAGAAGTCACATGGCTTACGATTACGATCAAGGAAAACTATTGCAGTAGGTAATTTGATTTGACGCTATACTAATTGAGAATGCTACGTGAATGTAGGTTGTGCGGTATAACACCCTTCCGGAAATTCGGAACGACAAACGTCGTGTATGGCCTCAACAGCGGACAAACTCGATAACAGATCACGAAGAGCTGCCGATGAGTAAGATAGCGTAGATCTACTACGCGATTTCTCCGTCATCGTTCTGGTCCATGATCCGCTACACGGGCATGAGAGAAACTTCAGCACTTTCCTTGACGTAACGCCCGGTTCTGAATCATTGCGATCCTCTAGAACGTCTGCCCCAAGCTGTGCCGAAGTCCGCTTCTACAGGTATCCATCGCGCTTCCGTCTTCTCTTTCGTCTCGGCTTGTGATTTGGAAGTTGTGGTGGAAGAAGTATCATCCTGTGGATGGGTTGGATGCTCGTCTAGCCGAAGCGCTGGAAAAAGCATGGAGCGCTCGATCCTACTTCCTTCAATGCGTATCTCTTCCGGGAGATTGAGACGACGCAACACGGATGCTTCGACCATTGCGTAGACCATAATAGCCATGCAGCTACACAGTATGCACATGCGTACAGTACCGCGGTCGACGTCGATGCCAAGCCCCAAGGCAATACCGGCAACAACAAAACAAAAATTGCTCATGTGCGCCAGAACTTCCACACCCTTGCAGATGTCCAGCGCCAACCCTTCGATCCCCGAGTATTTCTTATAACCCTCCGCTGGTTTGTCTAGTCCTGTCTTTTTATTGATCCAGTCATTCAGGCCTCTAGCAGTTTGTATGAGATATTCATGTAGGGATATCCTGAAGTAAGAGAGGGTTCGTGATGTGTGGTGTAAAGTACAACATAGCATGTTGAGCAAAAGAAGAACGTCAATGAGTAATGCGAACTGCCTGCCCTGCTCGTGAGCCTCGTGGAGCACCTGGCTCCCTAGGGATGTATAGTTTGTTTGGTTCATCGTGCTTTTCTGGTCCTTGGTACGATCAAGTTGGTTGTGTGTATTCGAGAGATGTTGTCTTGAGTTCTGGCTGGAAGCATTACGTTAGCTTTTGTAGATACCGCCCTTCTCCACTGTGCTTGCAGGGCTCTCATCACTGTTTACATACAAAATAAGGTTGTAGGCATAGGAAGTTTGGTGGTGAACATTCTGACTCATTAGTGCACCTTGAGCAAGTGAATCATCGAACGTCGATCGAATCACATGATCTGAGGACTGGCCTCCTGTCGAGAATTTCCAGACTACTACAACACCAGACGGCTGCAAAGGAGCATGAACACGACATGGGGTTCATGTTGTCATACATGCGGAAAAGGCGGCGATGGACTCATATCTACTTCGCTTGCTCGGTGAAGCGTTCCCTCAGAGACTTCTCTTCCTTCACATCGCGCGGCACATCCTCCAGCTCGCTGCAAGATTCTCTTTCGACTTCCAACTCATACATCTGTTGCTTCAAAAGCGCATTCTCTCTATCTTTTGCTTCGCATTCGTTGCATGCTTCATGCGTTCCACCTCTCCTCCTATCATCCAACAGGTTGGTCCGCCATTCCTCCATCACGTCCATGCTGGTCTGATTTTGCTTCTCATGTTCTGCAGCTTCGTATATATGCGCCAGAACAGCGACGCGCGGCAGGTCTGGCGAGTCGAGTATTTGACCCTCGAAACTGGGGATCAGAATACGCATGAAGTTGTCGGGATGCTCACGATGAGCGTTGTTTCTCCGTGTGGGAGTACGGTCAGGTAGTGTGGAGGGTCGGGCAACTCGATGCTGGTCGCGCAGACTCTTGAGATACTCTGACACCTTGTAGTTGACCGTTCGACCCGTCTCTGCTTCTTTCTTGTGTCTACCCAGCTGGTTGGCAGAGTCTTCCGCGCCCATGAGGTCGACGATGGTAAGGATGCCCCTAAGCGTGCCGTCGTTGCGATCGTGTACCCGAAGCTCGAGCCAGGAAGGGCCACGAGAAGACGTAGGTTTGTCATGGTGTTTGGCGCGGCGCCGGATAGATTCACTTCGTAGCTTCTTGAGTTCTTCGGCGGAGTCGCACACCGTGGGTGTCATGTACCCGCCGCCTTTTCCTTGGTAGCGGAAGTAGAGGCCTGTGCTGGAATACAGAAACACATCGGCCCGCGAAGACTCGCTGTTGCCTACTACAAGCTTGCCTTCCTCACGTCTCAGTAGATCATGGGGCGTGTTGCAGCACACCTCCACGAAAGAGACGTAGATCTGGTATTGCGGGAAAGCGAGAGCAGCAAAGCGATCAAGAAGTGAGGGATCAGCTGCGTTAGGCTCTATGGTAGTGTGCGTTTTTCCGGATTGCGTTTCGCCATAAGTGATGAGCATGATGTGCTGTCCGTGTAAAGCGGTCTGGATCATCGGCTCGAGTTCATCGAAGACGTTGGCAGTAGGGCAATGGGGGCCAAAGACACGCCAGAAGCTGTAGGCTTCGCCCGCTCCGTTGATGATAGAGAAGTCGTTCCACTTCCATTTCGAGATGGGCTGCGACGGTGCTTTGTTGGCAGATCCTTGGGCGGGCAACTTGGGCCGCACGCGGCAGTAAAGCAGGACCGGATTGATGTGACGGAAAAGTGCCTGACGGGCTTTCTTCAACGACTCGTTCATCTCGCCAGTGGCGTCTTTCCTGGCTGCGTCGAGTTGGATGGGTAGTTCGCCGAGTTTATGCCCTAGCTGTCGGTTGTCCTCTTCCAGTCTCATGATATGGGCATTACTCTCTTCGACCCTGCGTTCCAACTCTTTTTTGCGTCTTTCGAGACCCTCTAACTGATCCTGCATATCTTTTTCAAGTACATCGCGTCGACAGAGCTCATCTTCAATCGCGTCGCACGTCAGCTGCGTGGCCCTCCTGGCGACTCTGAAGGCGTCGGCTCGGGAGAGGGCCATGTCGAAAAGCACATGGGAATGCCATGATCACGGTCAGGAATCAAAGCGCTTTAATAACTGTTTAATCGTTGTAAGTAGCTGGTCTTGCATTCGATTGATAGAGCCTTTGTTACGCGTCGTGACGCTCACAGCCGGTATTGGTCCCTGCAGGTGTCTAGCCACTACCGGCTTAGCGTCCTCACACCGCGCAGCTACCTCCGCCACCCCACAATCATTCCAACGTTGGAGGGCGACCCTGTCACGCTTATTCCCGCCCTCTGCCTAGTGTTGAGCTATCTACACAGTTCATACTTCATATAAAATCTGCATACCACCCACTTATTGCTGCCATCGTGTCGTGATTATGACCGCGCAAACAACCGCTGAATTTCTAAAGCACTTGAAGGAAGCCATACCACCATTAGCTGTTCAAGCAATCGATCCTACCATCACACTGAAACCCTCTTCACACAGGCAGATATTAGACGATCCACCAGACTGGCTACCTATAGCTCGCAGTCAATCGATAATCTGGCAGGCCTGCGCAGAGTTGCCGCGCCCAGTTGACCTGATGGAACGTCATACCGACCCAAAGACTCTTCTTCCGATACTATCGGCATCGCCATCTCATCATCGCTTGTATGCTTCGAAGTCACCGGTCGTCGACCGCGCTCTATCGATTCAAGTGCTCGCCTCACTGGACGCATCACACCAGCGACTGGTCTTGCGAGTGGAGGATGATGACGAACGAGGGAAGACTATACCCTCACAGCTATTGTTAAAAGACATGCTCGTCTCATGGCAGTCGGATTGCGTTGTGGCCTTACGACATAAATCGCCGGCCAAAGACTCAGTTCACAGGGTCTACATAACGGCAATGTCCAAGACGCAAGCGGACAACTGGTACATTGCGTTGAAGCAACTTTCGGTTGGAGCATGGGAGTAGCACAGGTGCTCTTCTCATTCAACTACGGCCTCCAGATCAACTACGAATGGTCCCCCTAACGACTCAATCCCGCGATCATCTCACATGCACGACCTCGTCTTCTCCTCCTTCAAGTCGCCCTACAGCTGCGCGACCTTCATCAATGCCTCCAGACCTGCCGTGATCCCATGCGGGTTCTTCCAAGTGTCCACGCATCTTTCATCGTCCTTCACCTCCTGCGCTACCTCGATCACTGTCGTCAAATACATACCGTCCTCCCCGTTGAACTCAACATGGTTGGTGTGGAAGTCGGATCGCAAAGGGCGTTCTCCCAGATTCCTCTTTTTGTCATCTTTCCAGCCCAACTCTATGACCTGTGCGATACGCGCGTACAGTGTGCAGAGGTATTTCATGTAGTTTTCTTCCTCGGGACTGACGTTTTCTCGGTGGTGGAAGCCCTTGTAGGCGTACTCGAATATAGACTGCATCACAAAGCCCATGTTGTGCATTCGATCACATGCGTCTTTGTAGTCCCTCGTTTCGATGATTTCCGTGGTCCTGGGTTTGACCCGACCGTGCTGAAGCTTCAAGTTCGCGATCTCGACATTTTGTTGTTCAAGAAGATGCTCGTATTCCGAAGTCTTGGTCAACATGACGCGGACGAATCGTCCCAGATCTGGATCACGACGACTCGCTGCTGCGTGTCCGTCGTCGGCTGACGGGTTGTCGCGAAGAACCCCAGTCACAAAGTCCTGCACAGCCTTATTCATCGACTCCCATTTGACCATCGGATCGATGTGACGAATGACCTCTTTGAAGTTTTCTTCCAGCAACTGGATGCGCCCGTTGGCGTCAATGAGCTCGAGCTCTTTGGCTTGGGCCTCCTTAATGCGCTCGTCGTACTCGCTCAACTTGTGGAGAGCCTGGCTCAGGCGTGTGGTGATGGCTTGGTTTTGTTGCCGATAATAATGAAGGGTGTCGTTCGCGGGACGTCTGGCTTCGCTTTCCAGGAATTCTTTTTGGAGATCCTGGAACGATTTGGAACCTGATGATGCCATATTGGTGGTGGAGGCGATGCGCGCAGTGAAAGGGATGGTATCTTTGTTTTAGACTAATGTGATGGATGTGGTATAGTTAATGATCACGAACCAGAATATTGGATTAGTGCGACGTGGATGCCTCGACCCGGGAATATATAGTCACGCTGATGGAAAACAGGAGCTTGGTCTGTCAAACAAAGCTTCAACTATCGTGTAGTTCCACATTACATATTATCACTCTGAATAAAAACAGGAGCGTCGTCTGGGGGGCACGCGTGACATTAGAAAATTTGCCTCGCTGCGACGCAAATGTGAAACAGAAAGACTCGCGGCCTCGTCGATTTTGCCGGATGCGAGTCTTTCGTTGCTGTAAGCGTCGTCCGAGAGCTTGACTACATCCATCGTGGGCGCTTTCTACACAACCTACAGGAACATAAAGCATCGTTGTTTCTCTTAAACTAGGAACGCGTTTACCCTGCTACCTTGCGAACGATCTCTGAACGGAATTTTACACCTCCGGTTGCAGAAGCCTGCTTCCTATACGTCGAAGCCACCGTCCCGCGTCCTTGGTCATCCATTCAGACTTGACTTCAGCCATGGATTATCTCCGCCTTATCGATGCCCTGTGGTGGCTCATGCACCCCAACACTCTCTTTGGCCTGTTCAGTCTTCTGGCGACTACTGTCGGTCTCTACCTTGGCATCCAAAACACCCTACTCTTCGGCCTAGTCCTTGTTCTTGGCTACTTCTTCGGCCGTAATGGTGCATCGTTCAATTGTCCCCACTGGTACCTCCGTGGCGTGCCCATACCAGCGGATATGAAGCCCTCTGACCGTGAGGCTTGGATTACCAGGTTGCGCGGTGAGCTGGCAAGATTCGGTGTCATCTTTGTACGAGAGCGTAGCGAAGGGATGTCTGGTATGTCGGAAGTTGCTCGCGCAGCGTATATCGAAGAGTTGTTCGGACGACTGCATGCCGCTGCGGATGCGATGACGGACGAGGAGAAGGGGACTTATGGAAAAAGGTTGGCAAGGCAGTTCATGTGGTTCCAAGAGGGTTCGGTAGGCTGGCTCGGCATGGGAGGCTCTTTGCCGCCGATGCCACCTGGAGTAGGAGAATATGGTAGCGGTTACGGTGGAAGACACGGTTTGACGTGGATAGGCAGAGACTGAGAGTGAGATTCGAGCAGTAGAAAGGTCAGCTGGAAAAACATCTTAGGCAGTTGTCAGTTTTTGACAGGCTCGATGGTGGCGCATGTATTCGGAAGTCGCGATGTTCGTATTGTAATACGATGAAGTTTGATTGGAGCGATAAGCCTCAGTTCAACTGACATTGTGCCTAAATTTAATGCGCAGTGCTGGCAAGAATTGCGTTCTTCAGCGAGATCGGTCATTGGCGCGGCCTGCACCTCAAGACGGCGTTGCAATTCGCGGGTGTAGCGCCATCAAGGTCTCCCGCGGCGCCACCTCATACAAGAAAAAAGCTGAACAGGTCTGCAGCCTACATTAACGTAGAAACCTGCAAAGTAGGTAGCCTAACGTCGATGTAGGCTCCAGACCTGTTCAGTTTTTTCCTAGGTTGACGTGGAGCTACTGGTCCATGCAGGCGGATCGCGATACCAACGGCGTTCGGGCGCGCCATCCCGGAAGACTGAGAAAGTTTATCTTCGTCGAATCCTTAAGGTTCTCAAACGATTCATTGCGCAGCGAGTGAATCTGGATGCCGAGGGTCGCGGTGCCCCTAAGAGGCATGGCTTGCGCGGCGTAGAGTCTGCCGATCTGGATGAACGCGACACTCATCGAAAGTAGACCACCACCTCGCTCTCCTCTGCCACGTCGAACATGGAAGACTTCATAAGAACTTGAGTCATCGCTGATGGCGAACTCAAGCCAGCGATGTTGTCGTTAGGAAGGGGCTGGTCGGAGAATGGTGTTGAGCGTGGTATTAAGGTTGGTGAGAACAAACCTCGGGACCTCGAGAATCGCTCGGGACACGTGATATCGAGGGGCAGCCCCTGCGCTAGTCCGAACCAGACAGCTCTGGCTTAGCGTCGAGCTCAGCTTCCTCCAGATCCATTTGCTTCCGACACACATCCCTCAAACCACGAACGAAATACCCGATGATCGCATACGGAATCGCCCGTCGAGAAAAAACGTCTATCTCGCCGCCTCCCCTCCGTACGGCAGAAATGGCAGTCCGTTCGTGACCATATTCGCGACCACGGTGGCAGCGAACGACGCTACGATACAGACACGTGCGCCCAGGCTCGTCTTTATGATGACAGACATGGCGATAGATGCCGAGATTCGAGAGGCTTTACCGCTCATTGTGTTCATAGCGCATGAACTTACGTGGAAGCAGGAATGAGTCTTCGTCAACGATTGCGTTCCGCATATATCTTCTTTCCAGCAATATACGCGATATTACCCGGGCAAAAACGATTTTGAACTACACTTTTGCTACCTGCTATACTACATACGAGCTTCAGTGGTTTCCTCTCTCCTCTTTATGCCCTTACTGCCCGAGTAAGATCGTGCAACCTCCTACCATGCGCGCATCTTGTTAACTTTCTTCTCGCATCCTGCCTTTCTTGTTGGAAGCTACGTTTACGCAATTTACGCCCTTTCAGTATCGTCGCGCTCGTTGGGTTTGACGGTTGCAATGGTTGCATTGGTCGCATTGGTTTTGTCGGGTTCGTCAGGTTCGTCGGAATACTTCTCTGGCACCCAGTAAGGTCTGTATCGGCGATACCGATCATGCAGATTGATTGGAGCGCGTGGCTGAGACGGCGACGTGGTGCGGTTCGAGACTGGATCAGCCGAGCAGCATAACACGACTAGAACAATCACCACGATGACTGCGACTTTGGCGTAGCGCGTTCGTAAGAGGGCCCGTAGGAATCCCCGAAGACGGCCAGATGACGTATACGCCCACCAACCTCCGGCTATAGCTACGGCCGAGCCTATGGCGGCCTTGCTCCCGACATGTTCAAGTATGGATGCCAACATGCTAGACAGATATCTGCTAAGTCCTATTGGTTGGCTTCTTTTATTGACGAAAGTTGTTATTCTTCAGGGGAGTTGAAAGAAGAGGTGGAAGTATGGCCGGGAAGAATGCGACTTTCAGGCGATGAGTATGGGGTCGTGAACAAAGAGAAGTTTGCTGGCGTTTATGATGCTTGCTCGGACACACAAGTGGACGTTTCGAGGACGTCGAGAACATTCTCCACAGTACCGGAACAATGCCTCAGGGTCCTGGGGAGCAAAGATATCTTCGCTTCTCGGTGCCACGACTTGCTATTTTGAGTACTTCAATACTGCCGACGGTCTTCTCGCCCCTCCGTCTTTTCGCTCCCTCGTAGACATACCCCTCATGCCCTTATAACATCGCCCAAGAATTCTCTCCGCGCACTTTGATCGCCGACCCTCAATCACATTGGCCATCATCGCTGCCGCTGTCACTGATGATGCTAGCACTTAGCTGCGCTGGGGCGTGTTCGACGAATGCGGGAAACTGCGAATCACCCACCCGCTTCGGGAAGTCGAGGAAGCTCCCAAAGATCTCCCAGAGGAGATCATGCATCAGCGCATCAGCACCTGACTGTTTCGCTAGTTCCGGTAATCCCAGTTTTCGCAGATGACGGAAGGCCACCTCGCTCGATTTGATACCATCGACTGCTTGCTCGCCACCCTTCGTCATCGTCTTGAGCTGCGTGTGGTGTAATACCGATCCCAGATGCACAATGCTTCCAAGGCCAAGGTGCACACCGATGAACTCGTACTTTCTCCCATGATCTTGCCAACCGCGTAACTTCTCCTCGAAAATAGCCGGCGTCATACCACCAGGCACATAACCGCCACAATGGGAAAACAAGCGTCGTACCGCAGAGGGACAGAACTTCCCCCTTACTTGACCAGCGTTACCCTTCGCTACCCAGTTGGCAGGGTCCATCGTAGAGGCTATGTGGAAAAAGATGGCGTATACCACATATTGGACGCTGGTCAGCGCAGTAACACGCTCTGTAGCGAGCATATTGCCCACATGCGCGGCGTAGACGTCCATAAAGGTAGTACCTTTGTTTCGCTTACCCAGAGCGCCGGTGTCTCGCAGGACGCCTAGACCCATGTTCACGACGGTCACTTGCTCGGAGTCGAGTGCGATGTCTTCGCGCGTCAGCCTCGACCACCTTCTCCACCATTCAATTGACTTCTTGTCTCTCTTCTTCGAAGGTCGGGACGTAACGTCATCATTGCTGCCACGCTTTCGCTTTGGTCCTTGGTCGCACGTTGGAAGCACAAATGGCATCAAGGCTGTCACGATCTGCACCGTGTGCGGGTCCCACTCGTCGTTCGAGTTGAGATGTTTAAGATTGAGTACGTCCTATGTGGATCAGCGGGTATCAATCACTGCAAGAGATGCGAACTTACATCCACAGCGAACATTTCGAAGAATTGTTCAACTCTGATTTTAACACCACTTGGGGTATTGTCGAGTAGAAATGACGTGGCGTGGTCGTCCACACCCGAGCTAACAGACGGCATTCTTCGGCAAATAGCCATGCTCAAGTCGTCGACCGTGGAGCTGAGATTTAGCTCCATGAGGTCATTCGGGTATACTTGTTGATCGATAGATAGCGTGTTTTGCACGTCGTCTCCTGATTGGCAATGTTCGAATGGTGGTATGATTGGGCCACCACAGCCGACTATGCTTGTATCCGCGTTCGTGGAGTATCCAGTTCTGTCAAGATCGGAAAGGAAGGACTGGTCGCCCGTGGACGATGATCCGCCAGAAGCCAGTTCCACTAGTTGCGAGAAGGTGTCCAGAACCCCATGTTCATTCATAAAGCTGTGAATTTCGGCCGTATCCTTTGGAGTGATGATGTCAAAGGGTGGACCCATAGTCGGGTCCGCTTCCAAGTCGTTCGAGGTATGCGGGTTGCAGCCTATCGAATTCTTTCCCACTCCTTCCATTATCCCATGGGGGCATTCAGTCATCGTGGATGTCGTGTGTGTGTGTAGCCTATCGCAGTCGTGAAAAGCGCCGGATGATTGAGGCAGCAATACTATTCGCGGATTCAATGATTATGGAAGCAGATAGAGGATGTTGAGATACGGTGGTGAAGGCTTCACAAAGATGGGCAACCCCGGATGCAAGAAGAGCTGGACGGGCTTTGGCGACGGAGGAAGGCACTCCATGGACGCAACTCCTGAAGAGCCATCTCGTGGAACAGCTGGCGCAAGACATAAAGCCGATTTCGCTGCGGCCTGGAATCCGTGGAAACGCTTTTGTGGACGAGGTTTGTGATGGGGTGCGTGATCAAAGCTGGGACATGGTCTGCCGGACCGTCTTGCGAACCATGATCTTTGTCATACCGTCAACAGGAAGCGGACGATCAGGAAATTTGCGTCGCTGCGCAGCAAATCCGAGACATTGCGCATATATCGGCTGCGATGGATCTGTTCACGCAACGGAAGAAAGACGAGTCACGTGGCGATATGCGTGCATCTGTGAAGGTTGTGTGCTGTGGTGAGACAGAGCGCGCTTGGGCCTCGACTCATATCAGATACATTCGTTTCCTGCGAGGATGACGCAGGTTTGTACAGCCCTTTTCAAGTCCTACAAATCTTCTAGATGTACGCGCTTTGCGCATTCGCGTACAAGGTTCACTTCTCCTGACCAGCGATGGAGAGCACACGACAATTACGTCCTAAGGACTGCGTTATCCCATTCGGTCCCTACAAGAACCAAACGCTGGACCAGATCTATCAATCCGACTCAAACTACATTCGCCAGCTCATGAACACTGTGGACGATCTTCGACCGTGGCCCGAACTTCATCGGGTTATATCAGGGATCAAAGTTCGGCAGCATGATAACGACAAAGAAAACACCAAGCGTCAATCACCCCAAACACGATCGGCTCTCGAAGACATTCATACCGTAGTGACTGGATCATCATATCTGCCCAAGAGTATACTTCGCCCCTCTGTTCGCACGCCAACATCATGTATTGCTACTGCTCCTGAGATCAACGCGCGGTCCAACGAAACAGTTCATCCGTACAAGATTGCTCAGCAAGATCAACGCCAATCGAGCTCTCGTATAACTCAAAGGCGGAACACACCCACACAAGCCAGCACTTCGAAATGTTCGGTGACCAAGCCATCGTCCGCCACTGTCACTATCAACCCAGAGCGGGCCGGATCGAATCGCCCCGAATGTCCAGAAATGGTCAACCAAAAGGGTCCATATTCGTCGGTCACCGCATCTCTACCCGTTCCTGGTGCCTTTCCAACAATAGATGATGACTTACCGCATGGAAGAGACGCGCGAAAGAAGTCAATTCCGATCCAGGCGACGTCAGGTCCTTCCCACGTTACGAAGCAGCCAAAATTCGCCCGTTCTTCGTCTGCCTGGTCTTCCATGGAGGAGCGGGTCAGATCACCGAAAGGTAGCGCCAAGTCGACCGACCATCCGATTACCGAAGAACACTGTGATTCGATGCTGTCTAGGCCTTCACAGACATCCGATGCTGATCCTCCCATTGGAATTGACGACTACAATACTCGACGAACAAAGGCGCAGTCAGTCGACAGAGCTGACCCTATGCAGTCATGCGACGTTAATGTTACTGGCCAACCCAGTCGGCAAGAAGCTGAACATGTCAACGTCATCAACCGAGAGCCAACGGTATCACCTGTAGGCCTGCGACGAGCAAGACATGACACTCACGAGGTGGAACCGAGAAAGAAACGTCGAATGACCAGCTTGGAAGCCGTCGAAGACATTCACAGCCATGTTAGTAATTTGCAGATGCAGCTTCAGTCTACCGGTGGCTGGCTGTTCCAAAAGACAGACGACTCAGTCACGCGCGCTGCATCAAAATTGGAGACTAAAGTCGAAACGGCAACCACCGAGATCCATGGCCAGATACGCGACTTCCAATCCCAGATCAGCACGCAGGTTCGAGAGAACTGTGCATGGTTACGTGATCAGGTCGTGCCAGCTAACCAGAATCTCACCAGTCTGTATGCACACATCTCGACCCAGTCCCAGAACCAATCGGATATACGCATGGCGCAGACCAACAAACTCAACACTTCGATCAAGGCGGCAAGTGGCCATATCCAGTCGCGGTTACGAAAGAACCAGAAGCGTCAGAACGTTCAGTTCATGGATGTAAGATCTCGCCTAAAAGGACTACGGGGTGAGCTGCAAAGAGTCGAGGCAACCATTCAGCATCAAGGAAGCCAAATTCAAGCCGGCCTTTTGTCCAACTCATCCATGTTGGCACAAGAACTGAGGCTGGTTCAGAAAGGCCAGGAAACCTCGACACAACAACTGCAAGACATCCACGACAGATCTCTGCCCACCGTATCTAGTCTAGCGGTCAATCCAAGTACCATGATGACCATGATACAAGGTATCTACGGCCAGCTAAGCCCTGGCTCGGCTCTTGGAGATCCGCCGGCAGATGAACGCACCCTCTACCAGACCCTTAGCACGATCGAAAAGACAGTGGAGAGACTCGAAACTCATTGGATACCAACCTCGGAAGATGCCACTGAGCAAGCATCAGGACTGGCTCGAAGTGAGGTATCCGGCAAGATCTTAACAATGGTGGAGCAGATTCACAGTCAGTTGGCCAGGGGCGACAGCCTCGTTGAGGAATCGAATGTTATGACTTTGGATGCGCCAAAAGGTCAGCTTGCTCAGTCCACTGGTGCTCAGTCTCTCTCACCAGAAGTTATCCAAATGATGGAACAACATCATATGGCTGTGCTCGAGCGGTTTGAGCTTCTCGGGCAGCAAGTAGCTTTCACCTGCCCCGAGTCTAGTCAAAGTGGCGTCGAAGAGATCGATTTTCTACTCGTCCAGATCGAAGATGCTCGTCGTGTTGAGAGCCAGATTGAACTTCACATCATCGGAGACCTAGAAGCCCAGCTAGCCCACGAACGGGTCGTCAACACGAAGTATCTGGTCAACGCAGCAGTCCAACGAGGTCGCAACAGGATCTCCTTAGTTGATGTAGCGCCAGCGGAGCAGTTCTGTGAAGATGATGGCTCATGGCTTCGCCCGTGGGAAGCAATCTCCGGGGTAATGGCGGAAGCTGAGGCTCTCTTTGCCGAATCTGATCGACGGCACCTGGCACATGAGCTTCACTGTGAAAGACGCCGCAATGCTTTGAGAGAAACGCGGTTGCAATTCATGCCCAAGCGGATCGATATAGCCATCGAGTGGGATCTTGAACTCGTCGAGTCGCAAGCCGAGTATATTCAGCTCCTCACAAATCATGCCCCTATTTGCCCTGCGGACAATACTTCGCTCGCACTACCTGTCGATGCTTTGGGACATACCCTTCCATCTGCGCTTCGTGCAGGTGCCCTTGGGCGAGATCTTCCTTCCGCGCTGGACCTTGCTACTGATCTCTTCACGTTGCAAGCTCAGAACGCTGTGCGGACAGAAGCAGAGAGGGTTCACGAAGACGACTCTGCACGTCTTTTTAAAGGTCTTGAGGGTATGCGGAAGTATCTCTCCATGCTTCATGGGCGGAGTGATCTGGTATTGGTGAAGAGAGCGATAGAGAATTTGCAAGCGGGGAGGGAGTGGAACAGCGACAATTTGATGGGGGAGCTGAGCCTTGAGAGCACTGTCGACACGTGATAGATTGAGCGATAGCTGTAGCAAGTCCTTATCATAGCTACGAGTAGTGTATAGAATGTCAAGTATTCCTTTCGCCATACGACGAAATGCGATTCAGCCCCCAAAAGTCCTTGATATCACGTGAGTAGCTCATGCATTGCGGATAATTCCCGTAGGCCTAGCACAGACTTCATTGCATCATTGCACCTTAATACGTCCAGACCAAGATGCATGAGTGCGAGCATGACGTGAGGCGTATCCATGAGAAGTCGGTGTTGCACACAGTCCTGTCGTTTCTATCTCCTCGTGACCCCTTCGTGCACACACCTGAAGAGCGACGTCGCATGCATATGTTCGCATTCTGTAATGCTTACCAAGTGCTATATAAACAGGCCCGCTCCAGCCCAGCTAAGTTTCGACGTCTCTCCAGTGAACTGCAACGTTCACCTCCTCTGAGCGACCCTCATGGCTACTCATCATTGCCGTGGAACTTGCAAAAACGGAACGCCATGCGGGAACCATGCGACGCGGATTGTTGGCATGGAGGATATCGGCTCGTCAAAGGCGATGGACACTACCCCCAACCGTTGCGCAAAGCATGTCGACCAGAAGAACGACTACAAGACCCCGACCAAAAAGCCAACACCATCAGGTTCCAAGAAGCCCGTCGCAGCATCAACCTCATCCAGCTTCATGCCGTCTTCTCCTGGCAATAAGAAGAAGGCGACAACCGAGCAAAGGAGACGCAAACCATCAACAAGTATCTCCATCATCACCGACACCAGCAGCGACGACGAACTAGCCTTCGAAGCCGTGGATACGCCAAAACCCAAGGGAATCATGAAGCGATCTACACCAAAGCCAGAGAAGGATACCGCCAAACCCAACGAATTTGTCAGTACTAGACGCCTCGCCTCCAAGCGCCCCGTAGTACTTGATTCTGGAGATGAAGACGAGGCCACACCTCAGCCTTCATCGCGCAAACGAGTCCAGTTCCCAAGTCCGACCCCGTCTCGATATGGCACCGTCTCCGACCGGCTCAAAGCTGTTGTCGATGACACTGCTCATACCGCTAAACCGAACGCAATCCGAGAAGCCCTTGCTACCACGCCGTCAAAGGTTGCGAAGCCCGGTACCGTCGCATCTTCCTCGACCAAAGCCAAGAAGCCCACAAACCAGGCCATCAGCAACGCACTCCAGAAATCTTTCCCTCCGCCTTCGAATGATGGCACGAAGGATATCCCAGTAGTTGCTTCGTCCTCCCGACCTCCCACTCCTACGACAAAACCCGGTAAGCAGTCCGCCGCCAAGAAACCAGCCAGCAAGACTGTGAGCCGAGTACGGAGCCCGGAGATGGGAGAATCTTCGTCGCATCCGATCCCATCAACCGAAAGAACCAGCATCTCGCCTCCAACCCGTCCACGTACCGCCGCCACCCCTACCCGAAAGTCACCCCGTACGCGCTACATTCAGCCCGAACTCCGGGTCCTCGACGGAGCACCAGTTCCTCTTCTTCCCAACGACCCTACTCTCGCTGCGCAGGTGGAGAGTGTGCGTCGATCGGGTCTTCAGAACGCCGAGGATATACGTGAGTTGCTGCTCCGGGTTGAGGTATTGGAGAAGGCGCTGGAGATGGTGGCTGGGGTGGACAAGCCGAAGCATCAGAAGCGTGAGCAGAGACAGAGGGGGAAAAGCAAAGGGAAGGACATTGAGGATGAGTTCATCTTCACTTGATGTCGCCATGGTGATAGAAGAGACGGGAATGGGGAGGGTCAGATTGAGAAGATGCGGTTGCCGGTGTGGAATGGAATTGGGTGTCGGCGATAGCTTGAGAAATGATGTATTGCTGGAAGAAGGACACGGATTTGAGCACGTGTATTAGATAGCGCAGTAGATGGTATGAAAGATCAAAAGCTGGACTTGGTGTCAATCTTGTATGACAACGTACTCTCGCGGAACATTAGCGATGAACCATAGCAGCATACTACTCATACATACCATATCTGAAAGAAGATCGATCAGCCTTTCGCTCAGCCTCATAGCTCATTGCCATTGCCGGCCCCTCCATCTCCTTCAACTTCCTCATCCTGGTGATTAGTCATGTCCTCGACCTCTCTACCCACCAGCCCTATTCTCGCATCCATCCCACGACCCCACCGCCCCACCCAGCGTCCAAAATCTTGAGCCACCTCACTAACAATCTGGCCTGGGGTCGGGTCCTTAGGTGCAGGGTTGCCTAAGCCAACGACATCGTTCATCCAGGCATTGAGGTTGGTGAGAGAGCGGTCAACAGGGCCCAAGGCACGTTCGGCGCGAGCGGTCCAGTCCTCTTGGTCTAGCGCGATCACGGCGTCTTGCTGCTGGCGGGACGGTGATGGCGGCGATGATTCTGGTGGAGAAGGTGACGGCGGTGATGTTTTTGGTGGAGACGGTGATGCTGGATTGAGTAGTACATTTACAGGCGGGTCGTTGTAGTGCTGACGTTTGGTGGTGCGGTCTTCCAATTCTGTTTGTGGTTGCTTACGCTTTTCGCCATAACTTGGCTGCGGGGATGACGTTGAAGCAGCGTCTTGCTCCGTGTCTTCAATGCTTACTTCTCTGCCTTTAGCTGGGTGTATTGCCGCCTCCACTTCACCCTCTTTTGGATGATTCGTTTCAGCATCTTCATTTGCATCGACGAAATCATCGTCATCTTCGTCCGCATTGTCTTCCTCCTCTTCCGCTCCAACCAACCCACTCGCCCCCACCTGGGCTTTTCGCTCATCGTGAGCGACCAAAAGAATCGCTCGATCGACCTTCTTAGTTGGCATTGGTGTAGGTTTCAGCTTACGCCTGTTGATTTCTCGTCGTAAATTGTCGGACGTCCATGCCATGTACGCTTCCATGTTCGGAGACTTGGCGATTTTTCGATATCAGGAAACGTCGAAGTGTAAGTGGGAAGGCATCGAGCCTTGTTATATGTCGAGCTTGCGCTTGCTCAAGCTGGTTTGCTGTCCTTTGTTCACGTCACGTCGAAGGCCCTGTCACATGCTGGAAGCATGAATGAGTCGAAGACCGTGGTGCTGGATGACTGCGACATGTGTCCGACAATGATGAGATATATCGGACAACAGCTTCCATTGTGTGTCATGTTTGAGATACGTACAGTAATGCTCGACGACATGAGACAGACCTTGCCCATGGCAAGTGACATGCCGCCATACACCCGTCCTTCGACAATAGACAAGCAAGAACCGAGGTAGTCCCGGAGACTTGAAAGGGTCTCAAATCGGTTGCATGGGCACTTGTATCAGGCCTCATGGCAGAACGTCGTTACCATCATCGACATGGGGCTTCATGTCGGCAGACCCAATGCTGACGCCTTGACGAACCTGCTTGCCGAGCTTCCATATCCATTGCTTCTTGTCCTCCGCATTCATGTCTTTGGTGTGCGCCGGAAGTGTGTTGGTCCATGCCTGGGGGTTGACCGCTGCCAAGTAATGATCTAGATCGTGCTTCGACATGCTCAGTACGTCTTGCTCTCCCTTCAAAGCTACAAATAACTGATTCATCCAAGTTATCTGAGGTTTCTTCTTGTAGTAGTCGGTAGCATCACAGGATGCTGCAAAGATCTCGTGGCACACTTCCGACGGCAGTGGTTTTGTCCAAGCTTCGTACGCTTCGAAGATTGCGTTGCCGAGTGAATCGTTGAGGGGGTGAATACCGGAAGCGAGACTAGAGGCGACATTGTCGTGGTAGATCCGTGCAGCGTCGCGGACGGTCTTTTGGAGATGATCCAACACGACCTGATCTTGACGGGTGTTATGCACGTCAGGCGATAGGAAGGTGGACGTGTTGTGGTTCTTCCAGAACTTCCATGAGCGGTATGGGCGGCATATCTTGGAGCAAGTATCAGACATAGCAGTGGCGGTTGTAGTCTGGAGGCGATGAAACTGTGCGGTGTGGTGGAGAATCAGGTCGTGTAGTGACAAAGCGCGGGAGTTGATAAGTCCAAGACGCCTGTCGATAGCTTTGGCACCAAAGGCTGGACCATCTGAGCGCAGCTCAATGGACAATCGGACTGTCATAGGCGGGATGTGGCTGCTCCGTATATTGAGCATTGTGAAACTTGCAGGATCGGTGCATTCATCGCTAGGGAGAGATACGTCGGGGCATGCGATGAGAGGGCAAGTACAAGACGGCTTGCCTATTGACCAGATGGGCTGTGCAAGGACCGCAAGGACCACGCCCAAGAGGCAGACGAGCAAGACGAGGACCCTGCTGCACCATCCGGTCGAGCGACGTCGCGAAAAGTTTGGCGTCTTGCCCCTCGCCCTGTGTATCTATTAGCCCCCATTCCCGAGTCGTAGTCGTCTCTATTTACGTGTGACTCTCGCGTGGGCGTAGACCTGTGTCCATGATCGATGTTTCGTGGGACGCGTTGGCTGTACTTGATTGGAGCGGCTGCACTTGTTCGGGCAGTCGAGATCGAGGAAGGTCGAAACGTGATGGAACAAAGGGAAGGAGGAAGATAAAAGAGCTTTGGTTTTTGGGGTGTCGGCATAAAGCTTTTCTTTGTGTAACGTTCCGAGGTTTGTTTGCTCTCTCAACCCCACGCGAACTTTGGCAACCATCGACCGTTGTTATATTGGCGTGAGGAGCGAGCTTCTGAACTTGTCGAGTCGGAAGACATCTATCGAGCAATCTTTTGAGATGGCGCATCAAACGTCGAGTAGAGCCTGGGTGACAGTTGTCACGCGAGATGAGGCTGGCAAGGTGATGAGCGAAACGCGACGATTCATGAGGCTCAGCAACGGTGCGTCTGGCTCCATACCCCCGTATAATCTCGGATCAAACGAGTACTGACTTCTCCATTCCAGTGGAGCGCTTCTGCTTGGACAGCATCGTACACCGCGCAAATGCTCCAGCTGCTCGGCCATCCTCCAAATACCGCCGCCGCACGAGAAGCGAGCCAACCTTGCCCTCTCGAGATATTCACGAAGCCACACGCAGTGTATCGGGCGCGAGGCCTTCGGACGAGCGGCGCAGACATAAGCTGGGAAGGCGGATAAGAAATGTGGTCAAACGCCACGGGCGGAAGGTGGCAGCAGCAGCAGCTGTGGTCGGCGGCGTCGGCTGCATCGGCTGCATCGGCTGGCGTCTTTACTCCTGCTTGACTGCTGCACAGCCCGCGATAGCACCCATCGCAAAGAACGCCTACACTCTGCTGAGCATGCCGGAGCCTCTTGACGACCGATGGGTTCCTCCGCTGGTGCAGGTACGTAAGTACTGGCGAGAAGCAAACCGCTCGTGGAACGAGCGGATGTGGCAGGCACGCGGACTGCCGGACGCAGAGACAGGCCTGCGGGTATGGGAGCTCATGCGAGAGGCTTTCGAGCGCTTCGAGTCGTATTGGGAGGACCCCAAATCAAGAAGGGAAAAATATGGGCAGGCAGGCGGTACGCTGCACTCTGTCCTTGCGCGAGACCCGACATATAAAAAAGCAAGAGCGCTGTTGGCGGATACCTGTGTCGGAAAGAGGACTCTGTTGCGGGCGTTGACCAACGACGCCTCCAGAGCCTGGAGCGCTGCCTTGGGAAAGTCAGCGGGGTCACAAGACACTACTCTTGCGGCACTGCAGGAGGCATGCCCCTGGACCTTGCGAATGTACCTGCAGCCGTATGCTCCGTCGCGCATCCCGCCTGCCTGCGTAGACCGATACTATGGCAAGATTTCGAACATCAAAGGGATGGACAAGACTCCACCAGGGATTCCGTTACGATTTCTCCGCGCGCTGGGCCGGCAATATGACTACCCTTGGTGGATATTGCCTGATTATTACTGGCTGATCAATTTGTGGGGGAGAATGTTCCCGGAACCGAGATGGTGGGCAGACGAGAAGGTCGAAGCCTTGGGCGAGTTTGGCAAGGGCTGGGTTGTGCATAGCGACATTCAGCCCTGGCATCTCATCGGCGATCGGGAGAAACTCGGTCACACAAGGATGCGGTTGTAGAGGGGTCGCTGAGGTCGCGGCTGGTTCGTACAGACTGACGAGATCGAATCCGTGTCCATGAATGCCAGTCCGCTGGCACGTGACGTGCCATCGGGCATCGGCCCACCGAAGCTCCGACGTTTCCGCCGCAAGGTAGCCGCGCACTATCATGTAGAATACGGTAATACAATGTCGTCGCATCTGAAGCATGCTGCTCTTTGTCGTGCAACCATTCTTGGTGCCAGCCCTGATAACATCGTTTCTTGCCCGCACGTTTCCGAAGAGGCCCATCGACCCGCTGATACGTGACAACAACTAACGTGCGAACTCACCCACCATCTGCTAACAATCAGAGCTTCAATCAATCCCCGAGCAACGCCGACATATACAAGCCTTCGAGCGGGCTTGCGACCCGGCCACCGACTCAGACGCTATAATAACACTACCCATGCACCCGACAGTCACTCCACGCCGAACGACGTCGTATCGCGAATACGACACCGGCCACGAGCTGCCTCGGCAAGCAGGACTCTGCCGCAGTCTGAAGGAGCCCTCCAAAAGCAACTGCAGACCTCGGGACGTTCAACGCGCGCAATGACGGCATCGCGCGTCTCAAGACTTACGATGCCTGTTGACGCGTGTCACCACGCGGCCTGATCATGTTCATGGTCAAGACATACACCCCATTTGTCACTACGATGATTAGGCTGAGCTTGACGACCCCGGTTGATAGGTGGAGAGCGATCAGACTGTGTCTTCTGCATGCCATGGAAAGCGTTCTGGATCAGATGGCTTGCCCAGACAACACTCGAGCGCTGCATGCCGCTGTGCCGGTCTCATGGCATGGTATGTCGTCTCGTTCTCTCTAGGCGCATTCTTCATTAACATCGTCTCAGCATCCACTCCATTCTCACTTGCTCGTACCGCCTCCGAGGTCGCACATCGTCCCCCGTGCACACGCTCATCGACAGCTACCTCTCGAACGATCTATCATCCGCAAAACCCCGCCCGCAGGCGACGTCGAAAAGCCCCCCGCTCCACACCAGCCAACCGTGAAGGCCGCGGAGAATACAAGCTGCATATGGGTGGAGGTGGGATATAAACAGGAAAGCTCGGTGGGCACTGGATTGCCTTGTGCCGCAGAAACTCTCCCGCCACACCAAAATGGGGGTTGCTTTGTTTGGGCTCCCGGGCGAAACTCAATTTCTTAGAGGACAACGCCTGAATCGGCTGGCGGGCGTGCGTCGTCACCACCTGCGCATCCTCACCCAGGCAGGATTTGTAGTCCGCGCGCAAGCGAGCTGCAGAACAGCGGCGCTTGACCAGCAAGCCTAGTTACTCGCACTTTTGGAGAGGGTGCCAGTGCTACCGCGACAGAGCCTGGCGCGTGACTGTGCCCTGGCGTGCCGTGCCGTGCCGGCGTCTGCGGAAGGCGCCACGCTGGACGATCCCCGCTTGGTTGGCGGCCCACGCCCCAGCCTCATTGCGCAAGAAACCTTAATTCCACAACCCCAGCAACAAAATCGTCGCTCCTACAGCTGACCCACTAATCATTGGCGACCTGGAGGCTGCGCACTGCCGCATGAAGAGAGGACAATCTAGCTTGAGCTAGCTTCGGCGCCATTCCGGCTTCAACTCGCGACTTCCAAGGTCACATTGGGTAGCTCACTCCACGAACCCTGCGCGTCTACAACTGTGCCGTAGCCTTACCTTCATGAGAGGGTTCACAAATGACTCTTGCGACTTAACACGTCAGCACTACTAAGTAGACATTCGTGCTAGCTGTTCTACCTGTGCTCAATGCAGGCCGCTGGCTACCAGATGCCCACCTCCTCTGCATACTTTCCTCACATCTACTTGATGTTCATTGTTCTGGTATAGCCTACCAAGAGCATGGAAACGACCCACTAACACGCCTCTTTCAAGGATTGTGAGAGGCCGCTGGCTGTGTCGATAGACGTGTGGAGCCTTCTTTGCCACAACCCACTTCTTCATCACAACCCTTTGATTGGCTATAACCCTGCTAGACCTAGCTCTACATGAGTGGACGACAGTACGAAAATCGACGTGGACTACACTTCTGCCTGCCTTCTTCATCGCTTGTCCTTTCCAATTCTCTACTGCATCTGTTCGGCGAGTTCATTCATGCTACAGCCCTCCTAGCATGGAAACCTTCCGCGATGCACTGCTAAGCCCGTTTCCCAAGGGCCCATCGGACATCACAAAGTTAGACGACAGCACCCATGACCGGCAGAACGTCCGTGAATGCATCGCCCGCGGGGAGATCGAGCAGCTTCGCCTCGGAGCCTTTACCAACCGAACCTGGATCATCAGCGACCGGTATTGTGCTGTGGGCGACGGAGTCGATTCTCTTGAAGGCTACCTACATTCTATATGGCACATCTACTATCAGCTTGGTCGGCTGGCGTCTCACGAAAGCGCGGACCAAGACCGCCTGGTCCTGGATATCGTCCGCATCCAGGGACTTGGCCCCCTGACTAGGCCTGTGTCAGGAAACTACGGCATCGATATCGCACGAACAGTGCAAGGCACGCTGTGGAATGACTTGCCCTTCCTGGCCACGGACATGACGGATTTCTGGGTCACCAATTGCGCGCCCATGTCCGGTGTTCATCGCCTCAACTTGGCTTCCTTCTTGGCCAAGCTGGCGTCAACCCGCGTGGCCAACCACAAGATCTGTCAGATCGCTCTCGTCCTGTTTCGATCCACATTTGAGGAGACACGAGCCCTTTGCAGCCCAGAGACGCCAGACGATGAAGATCTATCTCGTGACATCCGCAGCCTCACCGTTGCGGATTTGCTGCCAGCTGCTTGCGCTTGGATCAAAGAGGCCAACTACTGCCTCATACAGCTATCGGACGCTTTCTGGAGCGACTGCCCAAGTACACTTAGCCAGGGTGGTCAAAATTTTGTCGAATCTGAGCTAGGAATGCGTTCGCCAATTGGATTTACGCCGTGGCGATGGATGTACTGGCTGAAGCGCCTGCATGAGATTCGGGACGAGGCACACGCCGCCCACGAGGAGCGCCTGGAAGAGCACGCTACTAATGCCATCGAGCGCATGATCAATAACGT